TTTGCTTAATGCTTATGTTATTTTATATATGGAGATAAGTAAACGACTTGTATCGTTTAGTGCGTGAGTGAAAAAGGTGGACATACTTTGCAAAATGGGTGAGCCACTGTCTTAGGTGAGAAGTAGGGAGGGTAGGATGAAAAGGGGAATTTAATGTATATCTGTACGTAACGATTAATCATTGCTGGCACAAAACGATTCTGAGCAGAGTTCGGTTATACGCATGTTGAGAGGCTGAAGGTAATATTTACGATTTTTATCAAAATTTGATATTACAATTTTTATATAAAAAAAAAATACTACATTAAACTAAACTTTTTCTTTTTGACTACTAAGTACAACTTATAATGAACCCTATGTTAAGTTTTCAAGCATTTCTGTTTGGTCTATATACAATATATAATTTATTATTTTGCGTTACATAACATGTGTACATTTTGTCGAGGGTTATGGAATTTTTACGGTGAATGTACATCAGGTTGGTGATTTTAGGAAGCATATATATATAGACATTTGAATATTAGTTTTGAATTTAGAATTTTAATGTGTTTACTTCTAAGGTAATTATTGTAAATTATCAGTTTGAATGTTCTTTTATATTTGTATAATATTATAAATCTAAATGTATTGATGATGGATATTATCTAATTTGAGATGAGTCTGATAGATACTGAAGGAGGATTGAAATTAACACTTCTGAGCTCAACAAAGAAATTTATTACTTGTATATGTGATGTGATGCAAGCTAGTGGTGAATACCCTAAATAATTTGGTAAAGAAAAATGTTTGATATTTATTAAATAGCTTACGGACGTAAGTCCATACACAAAATAGAAGTGTAATAATAAGAAAATACAAAATAATTAAATGACTAAACATGACGTAGAATTGAAAAAATAAAATAACAACAACCTGCATGTTCTACAGACACATTAACTGTCACGCACTCTTTTATATAAAACCAAACAAAGAGTGATTTTTTTTTTAATAGAAATAATACGAGGATAAAACAATGAGCATTTGAGCATAAAAAAAAATATCAAGATTTTCAAGATTTTATCAAGAACATTTTTTTTTGCTTATGTTTTCCTTTTATACCAATTTTAGAGCGGATAGAAACTTAATATATATTTTTAAAAACATTTAACTCTATTATCTATGGATATTTTTATTTTTAAAATTAATAATATACCTAATAAAGATCACAATATTAATCTTATAACAATTTTTTTTTTTTTGGTGAAACTTTCCTAAGTAATATAATTATTAGTCTCGATAATAATTACGGAAGATTCTTATTACAGTTAATATATATTTACTTAATAACAATGAATACAAATCAGGGTTGGTATTATATTATTATCCTATTGTTGATTTGATTTACGTCATCATTTTTTGGAGCTAACTGGCTCACTGGCATAGTCGTTCATGATTCCTGAAATTGTTGACAATGTTCAGAGAAACTCTCTTTTCTGAATCAATTTTTTCAATTGATGGTTAAAATGGACAGAAGTTCAGTGGAAACGATATTTTCTATATTTCAGGAACAACCGGTAGTTTTCCACCACTCATAGCCCATATTCAAAAGTTGCTTTGAAAATGTTTGTGTAAAAACATCTCCAAGTTAATGTGCACGTATATTGATTATAGGCCAATAGTGTAATTTTCTTGACATGTTTCCGGAATATTAAATTTTTCAGACATGTATTCTGCTCTTCTACTGCTGTTGATTTTGAAATAACAGACAAAGTTTGATGGAAAATACCTGCGAGCAATATTAGAGCTTCACCCATTCGACGTTGATCGCCTCAGAAATTACGCAGGGTACAATCAAGTGTTTAAAGCCTTTTCTTATGGGACATGGTACATTCCACGTCCGGTTAACATCAGTACTCTGTTAAAATTTTAACATTTTTTTACTTTCACTTTTTTTGTATTGGCAACAATATATAATTTGTATTTATATATTTTGATCAGCATAGATGTTATTGATGTTATCTACGTTTTCCCCCGAAATTCGTACAAGTCACTGTTATTGTTTGGAAATCGGAATTAGTCGAATTTCTTATTATCTATAGTCAGTTAGGTACCTACTTCTTTATCTACAGTTAGTATACGGTGATTCGCTCTATTATTACTGTAGTTTAGTCTATTCTGTTACCTTCTGCTCTACGTACCTTTCTTGATTCTTGTCTCTTGATACTATTTGTGAGTTGTGAAGGGGAAGCGTGAAACAGCTGAAAATCGCAACCTAACGGTTCGGCTGCAATATTTCTCAGATGTAAATTATAATACGTTTCTGCTGAAATATGATTCGGACAATTTTCGGCTAAAATACGTTGATATTCGGTTAAAATACGATTCATCAATTTATGTTTCGGTTTAACTATAGTTCGTTTAAAATACGGATTGGTTTTTTTTTTGTTAAACAGAATATGAAAATTGTAGAAAAAATATTAGCAACAAAAGCTAATACCTACTTGCTTTTCATAAGGTAAAACATCGCCAAAGCCATAAATCTTGTGATTGTTCCACAAAATTATATCGCCTTATGTTTTGAGATTCAAAAATAAGCAGTAATATTTTTTACTCTTTTCTCAGAATTAAATTTTTTTTCTGGTAATCCTAAATCATCCCAAATAATTATTTGGCATGTTTTTAGTACAGTTTCCATTCCTGATATTTTTACAATACCTATTTTAAGTTAGTGTAACAGTGAAGAAATATATTTCAAAGATGCATCGATGGTATTTTACGTGTTTTCACCGTAGATACCAGAAAAACACAAGGTTACACTGTACAAATTAATAACAATTTTTTTCACATCCGTGTTACCTAAGAAATCATCAAAAATTAATAAAAATAATTCAATTTTTGACCAAAATATATCTAAAAACCGAATTCTGGTATTAAATATTTAGCTAAAACCGCTATAAACCTTCTTGCTAATGTAGCGTCATATTAATACCTATATAAATATCTGAATTCTGAGTAAGTACGTGATATAAGACTTATGAACAGCAGTACCTAATATAATAAAATGTGACTACCAAAGTGGTTATAATAAGAAAAGTTATAATATATAAAAGTTTTCTAATATAAAAAAAGTTGTTCACAGATAAAAATGAAAAAAAAAAGAGCTAAAACTAGAGATGAGAGTGGCCACTGTTGTAGGCAAGAAGTTGGGAAGGTAGGATACATAAGGTTATTTCATTTATATCTGTAAATAACGATAAACTCTTGCTTGACGAAAGACGATTCCGAGCGCAGTTCGGTAATACATAATTTGAAGTACTGTATTTTTTTTTTTGCGATTTTCGTTTAAATTTGAATTCAAAACGCTTATTAAAAAAAATAAAATTCGTCCTATAATTTTGGAAATTTTACCACATCTAGTTAAGTCCAATGTAAATATTCTTATCAAGTTTTAAGTCTCTACTTATAACCGAATTACAGCAAAAAACTCCCAAAAATTAAAATTCCTTAACAGCTCAAAAATGGCTCAAAAGTTTTGGTGATGATACTGTTAGAAAATAAACCAAAAAGGCAATAAAAAAGGTATCTTATGGTTTTTCGATTAAATCATTTTTTTCTGGTAGTAAACGTCATCCATGTTTTTATAAAATAATGAAATAGTGAAATTGTACGTTTTCAAACCTTTTTTTCCACGTAAGTGCTTAAGTGCTAAAAAAAAAAAAAATAATAAACATCTTAATAAATCCAATAGTTCCCTAGCTACCCTCGGAATCCAAAATAACATTATTGTAAAACCAATGCATTTCTCGTCCGCTCAGAATCTAAAAATATACATTTTTTGGAATCTATATGATTCAAAACAATTGTCCACCAAAAATTGATTAGGGACTCACCAGTGGGTCACGATTCACAGTTTGAGAAACGCTGCATTCTAATGCACTTATGCATTAATGCACTTATGCACTAATGCACTCTAGTGTTGAGTGGACTTGCATTTATTTTGACAAGGGTACGCTATGTATGGCTATAGGTCATATGGATTAGTTTAATTGTATCAATAACTTTAGTATATAGATATAATAAACTAGTTATATAATTTATAGGTGATTATAATGACCATACTAATACTTACCTTACAGTATATTGATTTAGCCATCGTTCAATGAATATATTTTATGATAATGTATATTATAACGAAGAGAAGTGCTGGGTAATTAATTTAAAATGCCATCTGTATAATGTCTATTATTTGTATATTAAAATGTAAATTTGTAAATTAAATTTATATGCCCACTATAAATGTATACGTTTAACATGACTCAATGATTATCCACGATGGTTTCTGAATGAATACGATTTTAAGTCACACGTCCAGAATTCCAGTGTAACGTGGCCGGGGGTGACCCGTTAAATATAAAATATTCAGGGAAGAGGGTAGATTCTTTTGAATATTATTTACCGTAGTTCTGGAACGTAATGGTTGATTGGATCTTAATATTATGAATAAATGGAGATTGGTTTAGTTATCCGTTTGTATTGGATTAAAATTACATTTTATAAAGTTTACCTTTAGGATGGCTGTTCACTCTTGTTGAAAATCGTCGGCGAACTGACCCCCCGTCTGTAGACAATAATATATTGTCTAGCATTTTGGCACCCGTCGAAAAGTGTTAATGTAGCAAAAACGTATAATACATATATATTATATACATATTACATAGCGTAAATAATATAGATACCATACATAAATGTAACGGATGTTACACGTTACACCAGATTTGAAATTTAAATGTTTCGTCTCTAAAATCGTCTTGCTACCTCGATTATTTTATGTTAAAAAAGAGAACAACTATATCGATAAATATTATTTGAATTGAAATAATAATGTAAGCCATTAGCATTATTATAGATGAATTTATTAAGACCAGTTTCATAAAAAAAACCATTATCACACAAATATATATATTATCATTATTATTTTTATAATATTAATATTAAAATGTATATTCTTATTTTCTAATTAAATATGATTTTCTAATGTCATCATCACAAAATAATATATCATTATTATTACTGGGTACCTACCTATTAACTTCTATATAATTTCTAAGAATTTGTCTACATAAATATTATTAAAGAATAATAAAAAATAAATAAATAAGTTTTCTTGTAATTTGTGCGCATACCTAGCTATCGTTCAATTACACTCATTTTGATTTGCTTGTATTTCCAGTTCTTCTAAATCATCATCACTGTATTCTTTATGCAGTTGAATATCATAATAACGTCGCTGTAAAAGTTTAGAATTTTGAGAAAATTTTTTTTCCTGGTTCTGTAGTCTAAGTTGTTCTTTTATTTTTTCTTCTTCTCTTAATGTATTTTCTTGTTTCTCCTTTTCTTCCTCATCAATTTTTGTTTGTTCCATATAATCTTGTTGTGCTTGAATGTTCCCATTTTGTAGATTTATTTGATATTTAATTTTCGGTTTCAACTTTCCATCTTTATCATAATATCTTAGTTGGTTGTCTAGTTCTTCTTCAGCCCATTGATTAGTTACTTGTAACTGCTGTAGTTCACCACCGTCCTGCAGTTTCACATTCATTTGTACGTCTGGTATATTTTCATGAACATTATAATCGTTGTCTTGTAAACTGTTAAATACTATAATAGTGTTTGAAAATTACATTTATAATTATGAAAGATTATAATAAATTAGGTTGGTACCTATACTGCAACTTCGTCATTTATAATTTAACAAATATTTAAATTTATATTTACAACTATAATAATGCTTTGATAGTCATAATCTTAATAAATTAATAATAGTCAAGTAGCATTTTGAAATGTTTAAATAGTTATAGAACTATTTTATTTAATAATATTTTATAATTGAGAGATATTTTTTTTCAAATTTATTAAAGTTATTTTACTTGTTTTAAATAAGAAACTGTTTGTGAGTTTGTGACGTGAAAGTTTGAATATAGTTCATATCTTCTTTGTTCTCAAAAATTATAAAATTCATTTATTTTCAATATTTATTAAGCATAAACTAAAAAAAACACAATCAATTAATATCTAAATAATATTATTATTTTCCCTATTACCTTGAGAAAAAAATTATCTATATATATACTATATATGGATGTATATATATATATCCATTCTATAGAGTGATTTGGAATTAAAAGTAATGTTACGTAGGTTGGTATACTAAACATTTTATTTAATTTATTTTTTAGTATTAAAAACATTTAAAAATGCATAACACGATTTAATTATTATATTAAAATAATAAATTTTATACGATATTATTTTAATTCATATTTGAAATTTATACAATTTATAAATAGGTAGGTATAATTCAGGTATATATTTTCTAGTAAATTTTGGTTTTACAACCAGTATTTTGATAACAATTCATACTATACATACATTTTTATAAAGTTTTATGTTACTATTGGTAAAATTATTAGTACCTATTTATTAATACTCAAAATGTGTTTACCATAATTTGTTGGATTTGTATAAATATATGGAACAAATGTGTCTCCAAAATGTATGCTGTTTGAATAACTAAAAAAATAAAAAACCAATCTGTAAAACAAATCGCCAACATTATTTTCTTATACATACACGTATGAAATAAAGTTAAATACTAATATATACTTTGGAATCATTTTAAATACATTTAGTTCTTTGGTTTGCAATAAATATTTATTTTTATAATAAACAATTCTTATTAGTATTAGGTACCTCTGTTACATTTATAGGATTTTTTGCATAATTAAGTCTACAAGTGTTAAAAGTTGTTAGTCATATGTTCTATTCATATTTAAAATAATTAACACCAAGTTCAATATAGGTACATTTTTGGTTAGGAATAGAATTTAGGACATGTTTAGAATTAAAAAATTCTAAAAATGCTTTAAAACGATTTTTTTAAAATTAAAGTAGCAATATTCCACAAATAATCTAACTTGGCTTCTCAACAACAAAACTCGAATTAAAATAAAATAATAAATTGATTTCATTAATATTGTGATTTTTATTAGAATATACCAATAATTATGGGGATAGGAACAGTTATCCCCCTGTATGCCTGTATGTAAACCTACCTCTACATATGCTATCGCTATTCGGAATGTCGAACAAAGAAAGATTTTTTTCATATTCTATATTCGTCTTTCTCTCTCTGGCCGAGGTTATTTTGAGGTTAAGTTCAAATTATGATTGTTATTGTTATTTGTAATAAATTATAATTTCAAACTATACTGTATATTTTAGCTAATTATTCAAAAATTTCAATAAAATTAATTATTAGTTTTTTTTGATAATGATTTATACTTATGTACCTGATAGAACGCCGTATTTCAAACGTCAAAACAGCTGATACGTATCTTAGTAAAATTTTCTCTTGATGGAATTAGTAGTTGCGATTTTTCCTCCATATTTAGGCTAATGTGTAGTTTTCTCTTTCACTCTATTATTATTAAACTATATATTTTTCTCTCTCAATGCACAGTCCATTTATTAATATATCTCTTATGGTTGGACTTAGTTTTGTTATGTGAAACCATGTCGGGTTGGTCACAGGGAAAAAATGATTTTGTATATTTATGGAATTTTGCTATTTTGTTATCAAAAAATTTGATACATTTTTGAAAACCTTGAAATTCTTTAGTTTGTTTGAAACATATTATTTGTTTGAAATACATTAAAATAATAAGTTTTTTTGTTGATTTTTAGGTTACAGGCTACAGGGGAAAAATACCACTTAAATTACTCTGCTTAGAATTATTTTTTGATTGTAATGATTAATCGTTACTTTCAGTAAATAAATAATATTACCCTTTATCTTAAATCTTTCAAACTTCAAATTCACTACAGTGGCCTACCAAAGGTGCAAACTAAGTAATTACGCCCGACTTTTTTTATTAATAGGTATAATGTATCATTCGGGTTCTAAAATTTAATGAAACTTATAATTTCGAAACATTTCACGAAATATTTCATGAAAGTTTAATGAAATATTTCATTTTGATTGAGAATAAAATAATCATTTTTAATTAAAATTCTTATAATAACTATAACAGAAATTTAGTTACGGTACTGAATGGTCCTGCTCGTAGCTTTTAAATAATTTTAACAACAATTTAAAAACATCTACTGTTAACAACAGCCTTAACAAATAATTCTATTAGTTCTAATTTTTTTTCTTAAACATATTTGTTTATTAAGGCACACAGCCAATTTGAATAAAGAATATATTATAAAATTTAAATTGAATCCAATAATACATTATTAGTATTTAGTTATAACTTATAGGTATTACAATACAAAACCCAACCAATAAACATATGTTTGGAAAAAAAAGTGAAATATTTAAACATTTTATACAGATATTTAAGCAGTGTGAAATTTTATGTGAAATATTTCATACTATTCACATTATGAGTCATAAGGTCCATTAAAATAAAAAATATTTACCATCAGTTTTTATTGTAATGGTACTCAAATGCGCAAAAAGTTAATGTATGTATGTATTGTATGGCTAATGCCAATTTAGAAAACTTATTTTATGATTTTATAAAAAATAAAATTATTTTAATAAATAACAATTTCAAAGGAAATTTATATGTATTTTGTTTTCATGTACGTAATTTACATTTATTTAGTAAGGTATTATTATTTCGTATTGTCTTTTGTTCTATTCTAATATTTGGAAAAAAAAAATATTCTTTTAATAATAAATTATTTAAATTATTAGTCAATTAACAGGAAATTGCTTAAACTTATAGATTTCATGAAGTTAACAACAAAATCAAGAGGCTACCTACATAATATAATATTTGCCATTATAATTAATTTTATATTTGTATTTAAAATAATATACATAATTTGACATAAGTAATTAATATTTTATAAATAGAAGTTCTTAAATTATGATAAAAACAATATTTTCAACATCTAATAGTCGTGAAAAAGTTTAAGCATTTAAAACATAATTCAATAGTTAATAAAATAGCCATAAAAATATATTTTTTAAATGTAGGATATTTTATATTGTGTTAGTTTTCTAGAACATGATTGTTGTTTTTGTCTATAGGTACTAAAGACGTTGGTGTTAGTTTTGAATCGATGTGTCTACGTTCTACTCGTATTGGTTTTTTAGTTGGATTTGGTTGTTGGCTTTGACTGCTAGTGGATTCCGGTTTTCTCTGCTGCTGATTTTTTTTTTTCTCTAAATTTTTAAGTTTTAATCTTGCTTCTTCAATATGTTTAGTTTTTATTAAATTTTTTTCTTTAAGTAATTTACGGACATTTTCTAATTTTTTTTCCTCTTCTTTTTCCATCTCTTCTTTTTCCTTCTCTTCTTTTTCCTTCTCTTCTTTTTCCAATTCTTCTGTTTCCTTCTCTTCTTTTTCCTTCTCTTCTTTTTCCTTCTCTTCTTTTTCCTTATCTTCTTTTTCCTTCTCTTCTTTTTCCTTTTCTTCTTTTTCCTTCTCTTCTTTTTTCTTCTCTTCTTGTACTTCTGATGTTTCTTGTTCGGTTTTTTCTTTTAAATTTTGTCTATTTTCTAATTCTTCATTTTTCTCTTTTAGTTTTAAAAGTTGTTCACGTCTTTTCATTTCCTCTGCGAATTGCCGTCGAATTTTCCGCCCATTGTTTATTACTTGTTGTTGTTCTATAGCTTGTTGCTGGTGTTGTTGTAATATTTCATCTTGTAAATTTGGTTGAACTTGTACTTGAGGTTGTTGATTATTATAGGACTGTAGTTGTTGGTTATATAACTGCAATTGTTGATTATAAGACGGCGAAACTGTTGGAGTCTGAATCACGTTATTGTTTGCCGCTGGGAAAAAAAAAATTTTAATGTCATTAGAATACGAAAAATATGGAATACAAAAGTTGATCGCTTCCCCATAGTGTACCCTGGGCAACGTTTAAAATGGTAGATCTAAAGATCTACCACTGTGCACGCAGAAAACTTGAAGCTCACGCTGAAGGTGCACATCAGAATTTTTGCAGCCCCAAACAACCAACAAAAAATGCGGTTATTTGATAATAATGTAATAATACGAAAAAAATTGTAATTTATATGTCTACATTACACACAAATAAAATATATATTATAACCAATTGTGTTTTTTTTTATCATAGATTGGTGTTCAATTGGTTATTATTTGTATTACCGTTCATAGATTTGCTTAGAATGGTCATTATTTGATTATATAATGCAGGCAAAAGTAATCTTGAGTAAATTGGCACCAATAATGAACGTTGATTTTGATTCATTGATGGAGACTGGAATCCTTGTGTCATTTGCTGTAGTTGAGGTATAGAGAACATAGGCTTGACTGAATTGAAAACAGTTGGTGTTGTAGGGAAGACAGTTGGTGCTGTAGGAAAAACAGTTGGTGCTGTAGGGAAAACAGTTGGTGCTGTATGGAAGCCAGTTGGTGCTGTATGGAAGACAGTTGGTGCTGAAGGGACGACAGTTAATGCTGTAGGGAAGTTGGGTTGGTTTGTAAAGAAAGCAGGTTGATTCCCTTGCGGCCATGATTGTGGCGTTGTCGGGAAATATGGTAATGGATTACTTTGCATCATTGTTGGTGATATTTGTTGTCCAAATGAATTAAATAACCCTAAAACAAAAATTATGTAGACCTGATAATGTATTATACTAGTATGATGAACAATATTATAGATTGTAAATTGTAAATAAATTACTCTTATTGAGAGGAATTAATTATACTTGTTTTGTTTTTTTAACTTATGTCTTACCTTCGTTTGGAACTACATTTGCAAATCTGTAAACAATTGAAGTTATTATTTTCTTCGTAAGACGAATAACACATGTATTAATTTTGTATGTAGGTAGTCAAAATTGTGTCTACATATTAATATTCAACGGTGTCATAAAAAATAAAATTCCTAATAAATTATGTAGTTATAAGCTACTTTAGCTATTACAGTAAAAAATAAAAGGTTTAATTTTATAGATATATATAGAGTGTCCATCGAAGATATACCTACTGCGATATCCACTGAGATAACGAGAACAATCGAATTCTGGTTTTTTTATTTATTCAGATGACTTATAGAAATAAGGACTAAATATAATCATATTTCAATTTAATTTTTATGTTTTGGTAAAGTATTCAAATGTTTGTACATTTTGATGTTTCCATTATTATTTTCATTAAACTTATGATTTTTATGTATATATTTTGTGTATTATTAAACAAAACTTATTTGATAATGAGGTGAGATAATTTCAAAATACTAATACTAAGTATTAAATAATACACTTTTTTCTCTGAATGATACAAAATATTAAAAATCTTTAGGTTAATGAAAATTAAAATTGAAAGTCATAATTTTGAAAAGAATAAATTCTAAACTATAGATGTCTTCAATTTTTTCAAAAATAATAAAATTAAAATTAATTGTTTTAAATTTTTTGTTAAAACATAAAAATGTAATTAATATATGAATACTTGTCCCTATGATTCATATAAAATAGAATTTGCCTATCTTTATTATCTCAAGAGGCAATGGATTACCTTTCTGGGTAACTCCTTCTAATATTATGTACTAAAACGGCGGTCAAGCGGCGGGGGGGGGGATCAATTCATTACATTGAGTAATTTTTCTTAAATATTAATAACAATATACAGAACGATTGTTAACCGTTAAATAAATTCATTCTTTTTTTATGATTAAATTATGCATAAAATCAAATTCTGATATTCAGAATTTTTAAGTGTGGTTGATATTTTTGAATAATAATATTTTTCACAACATTTAGGAATACCCTGTGACATTACTAATTTTGATTTTTCTAATGAGAACTTGCATGTTTTAATAAAAACTGTTAATCAGATGATTTGTCTGAAGATGTTATGAATGAAATTATCTATGTACATTAAATATTTGGTATCCAATCCCTGTAAAAAACTATTATCCTTAGCATTTCAAGTAGAATATCTCAGAAACATTTCGTTCAAATTTCGATTACAATACGTCAACATTTTCAAAAAAAAAAAAAAAAATGTATTAATTAACATAATTTGCATTTTAAATATGTTGTTATAATTTAGAAAAAACAATGTTGTTTTCACCATAGAATATTCCCTTAAATCACTTCACAGCATTTAATTTTGTAAAAAATCTATGTATGCGAAAATATCATCGTTAACTGCAATTTGAATTTATGCATTATTCAACGATATAAATGAGATGAGCATGAGTCATTCTATATATTATATTTTCATTAGTATAAAAAAAGATTATGTAAATAATTATAGCTCTTAAAAATTATTCTTATCTTTTTTTCATTACAAAATCATTTGGCCGTTTTTAAAGTCTTTAAAGTTATATTATTATTATTATTATTAGGTATTATGAACAAAATTTTAAGAATACTTACATTATCTTAATCAAGGTGGTGAATAAAAACACTCTGGTAATTGAAAACATATTTATCACTTTTAAATAACTCAAATAAGATATATATTATATATATAAAAAAAAAAAAAACCTCTGAAAAATGACAGTTTCGAATGAATGTGCATGATATTTATAAGGTTAGGTGCGTATGCTAAAATACCAACCCACAAATGTTAGTAATTATAAAGTCAGCTCGTCGTGAAAGTATTGTTCTATTATCATTTTAAATAAATATACTTTTTGTCGAACAACTATATTATAACATGTTGATATTCAATACCTATATATTTAAAAAATAAACCATTACATATAGGTACACTATGGGTAATATCTATCAGTAATATAATGTATGTGTGTTTGTTTTAATTTTTTTGTTAAATATTTCTATAGAAAATTATACCTACATATTCATGTTCCCCGTTATTTTAGATTCTGAGCGTAGCGAGGAATGTATTGGTTTTATAATGAAGTTTATTATTATTTTTTAACGGCCTTTTAAAACATGCAGAACTGAATTCCACTCAAAATCGTTTTTCGTTAGCAATGTTTAACCGTTGCATATAGATATACACAAGATACACATTAAATTTCCCTGTATATCGTAATGATTTAAATTACCATTATTATTGATGTCTTAATAATTAATTAGGAACTTATAATGAACTTCGTGTTAAATTTTCAATATATTTTGTTTGGTCAAACAATTTTATCATATATTATCTACCAAATATCAACTTGAAAAATTCGAAAACGTCAAAGATATCCAGAATGTTTTGAACATTTTATAGACAATGCTTATACTATTTGTACTTATACTACCTAAGTCAGGTACCCTTTTTAACCGATTTATATTAAAATCGAAATTGAAAGTAATGAAACCATTAATTTCATTAATTACAATTCTAAACGTCTTTCTTACGTTTTTCCAAATTATTAAGAAAGCCGAAAATTAATAACATAATAACATAATTTTCTTATACATCAACAATACAAAATATTTATTTAGAAAATATGCTGTAGAGCACTGCAGAATCTAAAACGAAAAAAAATGATTTGTCTACATTCAAAATAACTAAGTATTAATCTCTTTTGAAATGTAGTCGTTATTATTTAATCATTATTTGTTTTTCTGTAATAGGAAGTAATTTATTGAAACTAAACTCGAAAATTTGTCTTGATCAATTCAGTGTAGGACAAAAGTGATATTGGTTTTTATTTTAAATTTTAATTAATGTGTAAGAATTTCATATATTTAGAAAAACAGCGATAAAAAAATATGTTCACATATTTGTGAACAAAATATGTTTTTGGTTTTTTTTTTTGTAATGTCCAACCTTGCAGGTTAAAAAAAAATAAAAAAAATTCTCTCTTAATAAGTATTTATTCTCTCTGTAATCAAAATATATAGCTTATATTTCCCTGAAAAATATTGAAGGAAGATAAAAATATATACATTATAGTAGAAAAATATTATCAATTATGATCATTGTAAGGTCATTCTTTATTATTTTTTATCATTGTAAGTTTTTGGTTTTAACGATAACTCTAGCTTATTTCATAAGGAATAATATTAGAAAATCTTACCGAATATTGTATTATTGAAAAATGTTGATAATATGACATTACACCATAAATTTAATCCGTATACTATGACAGTAAATAGCTTTTGCTGTACCTATAAGTGAAGTTATGGAGCGGTTCCAAAATTCAAAGTGGTCAATTATTTGTGTGGGACCTATACCAATTTTCTAACAATTATGTAACTGTTAAATTATTAATTTTACCTGAAAAACAAAACAAAAATACTAGACAGTCGATAACATATAGTATGTTATAAAACAAAATTTTTCTTTCATAAGAACCAGATAATTTCAAAAAATGTATTTCATGTTAATTAAAAATAAAACTACAAAACGTCAATTAAACATTCATTAAACGGTAAGTTATTATCATAATATAACATATATTTTAGCACAATATAGTTTGACAACTTTATAAACGATGTGTAGATATGAAATGTATGATAGTAAACTGTATACTTTTGTATGTGTCTATGCATTCGTATAATTTTCGACTATTATTTCAATTAATGTTAACATTTGCAAAACAATAGAACTACTATATTATACCTTACAGCACTATGTATACAATATAATTACGACAATTATTATCCATACAAAATGTGTGATGGATAGGTACAACATATGTAGGTATTATGGACTCAAGGGCGTCCACAAAGGGGAAGGGGGAAACTCTCCCTAGATTTACAGCAAGTAAAATTAATTATATCCAAATTCAATATCTCAGAATTCCAAAATTAATTATTGGCACTGAGGTGTATTGATATTTGTCAATACTTGATACACCCATCAATAACACCTTGATTGGTACCTAGTATTTAGGTATACTTCGTGATAATAGAATTAAGCCAATTTACCATAAAAATATGCCCTTATTTATGCCCTAGGATTTGAAGTTGGTATTTACGATTATAGCCGATCATTTGTGGATAACTGACTTGCCGTTATCTAAGAATCGTTTATCCGGATTATGAATGTTAAATTTGAAACTTGAAAGCTACATTGGAAAAAAGTCAAAGAACTTAATTTAGTAGAAAAAAATGTTGATAAATCTGGAAAAAAAATATAACTGCGATTTGTGTTTAATTAGTTACTAAAAGTATAAAATTTAATATTATATTATAATATCTTTAAAGATTTTTAAAAATACACATAATATATTAATTAAAGTGTTTGACTATTGATACAAATCAAGGCTGTCCCCCCCTGAATTTTCACCTGTGGGGGCTCTTGAATGGACTTATGGTTTTATAGACCAATACTTTATAGTGTGGTCAAGGGTCGGATTTTTTTAAAGTCATTAAAATTGAAAAAAATAATATGCTTTAAAATTAGTATTTTAAACGTTCAAATAAAATAATATTATGTTAGGTATTTTATTGTGCAAAACAAATTTTTGAAACAAAATGTAATATAATATAATAATGTTACGTATATATAATTTTACTTTCATGGCAAATTACATGGAGCTTAGCTTAATAAGTAATAACTTGATTGTTTTTCCAATCAACAAGTACAATTTTTAACCCACTAAAAATGAATTAATTCAACAATTTTTAAAATTGAGTTATTCCTTTATTTTTATAAAATTAGATTTGGCTAATTTGACATACGCTTGGTAGGTTAAGCTTAGGTTTGGAAGGTATTATATGGATAAAATTGTTTTTACCAAAAATATTGCTTCAATCGAAAAATAAAAAAAGATCAATTTTGCTCCTTTTAATATAGCCACTGACAAAAAAAGTTGTTTTTTGATGTCCAAAGAAAAGTTAGTTTAGTTTTCAAATAATTTGAAACCCCCCCCCCAAAAAAAATAAATAAATACGGCTTAACGATTTTATTATTTAAAATTTTTAGGAATATATTTTTCTATTAGAAATCTCCAGATTTTTAAATCAGAATAGTTTGTTTTTATTGATTACCTTTTCCAAGTTTTGTTTAGTAGGGAGGAAAAAAAAGAACATTCAAGTTAAAATATACATAAATTATCTGTGGGTCATAGAGTTGTATTTTTTGTCGATAAAAATTAATTTTATTTAATTAATGTCGGGTTAGTTATGCAAACACGAGCTTATACAATATATTATTGTATAAAATTAGATACTAAATTAAAAATATATATAAATATAGGCCACGGTCGACTAAGATTTTTATTAAACATAGGATTTAATATAATATATATAATACTCGTAGCTTCGGATTTGGATGTGATAATAGTATACTGCCGTTTTTTTGTGACTATTTTAATAATATCATTTAAAATGGATTTACGAGATCGTGTCGTTTTAATATAACATGGTTTTTTTTCTCAACCTCTAATAAGATTAGGTACGGCGCCAAATGGATATATATGTACTGTAGGCTTCCCTTTGTCAGATTTTGGTTTCCCATATTTCGGCTGTGCTTTTTCTTACAATTGAATATATGTACACGTGTTCTATACACAATGCTAAAAAAAACCTACGAAATATCCAAATTTCACTTACAATTTATTTTCCCGAAAGATTTCAATACCTATATTGTCATTAACTCAATAACATTCGCGTATTTTTACCTTATCAAATGAAGTCTAATGTGAAAAAAGTATAAAAAAAATTTAATTTAATTCAATATAAGTACTTGCTATATTTTCAATTAGCAGACTATCTAAAATTCTAAATAAATACCTTATTAATGTAGAAAAACCTATACCAATACGCTTTAATATTCATATAAAAACAGAAAATGTAAATATTTTCTTGTATAATCACAGTTGGAATTATACTTTTATTTTTGTGTTCATCTTTTCCTCATTCACCAGTACAATCTATTTATATACAACTCTTTTAAAGTAGGTAATATAAAGTTTTTAATAATAACAAAAATGTAGGTCAACCGTTGTATATTTACTTGATAGGCGATAGCCATAAATTTGAGAAATTAAAAAGTTTTCAAAATGTCCGTGAACTTTTTCAGAGGACTTTTTTTTTTTAAAAAAAAACCTTAGTACACAAATTAATTATGATATTACAATATATATTATGGAGGAAACATTACAATGAACGTAAGGAAATTATTATCCTTATTCCCTATGAATATAATATATTTTTATTGATTTCTGGTATTTTTGGGTTTTTATACAGAGTGATCATTTTATTATAAATAATCAATTTTCCAACCATTATGAAATTGTTTAAGCTTTGTTTTAAAACTTTTTTTAATTTTTTACCTCGACTGTATAAACCTCATATAAGTATATACTTTTTATTGTCTAATATGTACTCCCCCTTTTTGTAGACAGATTAATACAGAAAATATTTTTTGAAACATTTTTTTTGTAAAATGTATAATCCTAATATCGTGTGTTATAATTATTATAGTTTAAAGTTTTGATTGGAGAAGTAAAAAAGGGCAAGGTTAGGTTAAATCTGATATTAGTGTTATAAATATTAAAATGTTTAGAAAAATATTCCCTATTTAAATCTATGTTCAAGAAAAGGGGTTTCTATTTATTTTGAAAAATTAAAAGTATACAGAGTGTTCCACAAGATATACCCATTTTTATATTTCCGTTAGGTTATAAATCTATTTTTTAAAAATAAAATCATTTCTAATATTTAATAAAAAGAATTACCTGAAATAAGTAATGAAGAGATTTAGAATATATTTAGAGTTAGACAAATAAATACAAATTTGAATTTAAATAATGCAGAATTAGAATTTATTTAAATTTGTTCTTGTGAACAATTGAAAAAGTGACTTTCGACAGTTTTCATTGTAGGAGTCAACATTAAATGTAGAAAATTCTAATTTTGTTTGGTGTGGACTAATATTTAAAACTATCAACTCCATTTATATGCATATGTGATTTTTTTGTATTTTGTAGATCAATTTTAACAAACTTTAATGATCCATAAACTTAAGTCACGAGGGATAAAAATAGTCCAAAGAAAATTCAAACTATGGGAATTCAGAAGGGGTAAGGCTGGGTAAAAATCACCTATTGTACTTTAAACGTTATTTACTTTATTCCT